CGGAGCTGCGCCTCCCCCGCTGCAGCCCCCCCCGGGGCTCCTCAAACAGCCTGCCACGTTTCCAAGCACTTTTATTTTTACATCAACCAAGCACATGGGCACAGCCAGGTCAGCACTGGCCACAGGGGCCCAGAGAGCTGCTCATGGAAAGGCACATGCCCAGGGATCCCTGGGCCCACCACAGCCCCAGGCTCCCAGGGCATGGGGCTGGGCAGTACCCAGGGTCCTTCTGCCGTGGCCCTGGGCCGAGCTGTGCGTGCAGAGTGGTTCGAGGCAGCACCAGGGAAAAGCTGAGGTAGGTTCCCAGCTCTTGTGCAACGGATATAACAGGGAATTCATTTGCACCCCAACAGGCCCCTGGCCAAGCCAGGAGAGAGGGGCAGGCACCAAGGGTGCTGCTGCCCTTAAGGCTGAGTCTGGGGGCTGTTGAGTGTCCCCCAGGGTGCCACTGTGCACCCACACGTGGGTGTGCAGGGTCAGCACTCCTCTGGGGTTGTGCTAGGCTGAGCTCTGGAGCTGAGCTGTACTTCCAGCACCATCCCCACCCGGGAAAGGCACTGTCGGTGAGTGTTAAAGCACAGTCTGCAGTGACTGGATGGGGAGGACCTTTCATGTGGGGTCCCTCTCCTCCCACCAGCACCAGGCCAAGGCAAGAGACCCTGTGCAGCAGGACAGGCACTGGTGGGCAGGGAGGGGTGAGTGGAGGGTGTGAAGTGCCCAACCTCTGGCACCACAGGCCGTGATGCTGCTCAAGCTGCCCCCAGAGCCTCCCACCGTGTCCTGAGTAAAACCACAGAGCTGCTGAGGCAGGAGGCAGAGGCAGTCCTGCTCCTGCAGCCCCAGAGGCTCAGAGGAAGATGGGCTGCTCCTGCCCCGTCAGCAAGCGGTACGTGGAGGCTGGCATGGTCTTGATGTGGACCTGGGCAGGGAGGCACAGATCAGAGGCCCCAGCATGGGCTGGAGGGTGCTGGTGCACAGCTCTGTGCCCAGCTGGTCCACGGGGGCCTGGCTCACCTCGCTGACTGCCTGGGTGAGGATCTGGATGATCTTCTCGTGGGGTGTGGCCACCACGCTCTGCCCGTTGATCTCGATGATGCGATGCCCCACGCGGATGCCGCCGCGCTCCGCGATGCCCCCGCGCATCAGGCTGCAGATCTGGGGGTGGGAGTGCTGCTCAGGGCAGGGCTGTGCCCACAGCCTGGGCCCTGTGCCACCACTGCCCCGAGTCCCTGCAGGCTCCTGGCAGTGCTCTGCACCGGTGTGCCATCTCCCTCCAGCCCGTGGGCACACAGGGCAGGGATGCACTGCCATTGAGCAATGTGCTGAGCTGGGGTGAGGGCACCCCCAGCTGTCCCCCAGGAGTTTGTCCCATGGTTGATGGGGAGCACAGCTGCCCCATTCAGCCACCAAACCCTCCTGCTCCCATCAGGCCTGTGCTGCAGAGCCCGAGTTTCTCCCTGGGGTGGCAGGGGATATCCACATCTCCATCCCACTGGGAGCACTGGTTAGTGTGTGAGGAGACCGTGCCACCCCCACCGCTGCCAATCCACCCCCTCAGCCCCCACTGGGCCTGGGAATGCCCTTCTCTGCCTTCCCAGCAGAGCCCAAAGCAGGGAGTGGCTGGGGCACTGGGGTCACACCCAGAAAGCCAGCAAGATGCCATCACCCCGAAAGCAAACAGCTGGAGAGCACCAGGGAGAGGGATACAACCTCTGGTGCTGCAGGAGAGCTGTGAGGAGCCTTTTGCTGTGCCCTGGGAACCCTCAGCCCAGGCTGGGCAGAGCTCAGGTGTGGGCACAGCCAGCCCTGCCCGTCCCTGGGGCAGCCCCTGGCCCAGCTCCCGGCCCGGGGCACTCACCACGCCGTTCTCAACGCAGAAGCCCAGCTGGTACTTGGAGTCAGGGCGGCGGATGACAGCCGTGGTGACAGGGGGACAGTGCACGATGTTCAGCATCACCTCTGTCTGGTGCTTCAGCTCCTGGAAGGTGGAACGGGGCTTGGTCAGGTTTTGGGGAGCTGTTCAGTGTGGCTGAGGGGTGACACAGCCACGTTGCTCATGGCAAGGCTGACTTAGCACCCTAATTTCAATAGGGAGACTGAAGCACACACAGGGATACCGCCAGGCTCAAGAACTTACAAACCCAGCCCAAGACTATCCGTTCTGCCCCTGAGGACATGCTGTCCTTGCTCTCAGCTCCTTCCTGCCAGGTACACGGTGCAACAGGTTCTCTCCAGGACTGGTGACTACTCCTCCTGCACCCTCCTCAGGCCAGGCCCTGCCCACACCCTGCTGCAGCAAGTGCAGCCACCAGCTTTGTCCCTGCCTTGTCACACCTCTTGCTCCCTAGCACTCAGAGCAGGGACTGCCACAGCACACAGCACAGGTAGGCCCCAAGGCCAGGAGCACTGGGGGCTCGCAGCGCCACAGACACCCCTGGATCACTCAGACCGGTCCCTGTCTCCCTCCTGGGGTGAGGCAGGAGGGTCCCCTGCCCTGGCTCACCCGGATGATGCTCTGGCAGGTGCCCAGGGGCAGCCCCACCAGGCTGGTCCCGTTGACAGACATGAGACGGTCCCCGATGCTCAGCTCGCCCGAGCGCTCCGCGGGGCCCCCGTGCATCAGGTTGGCAATGACCACCGTGGGCAGGATGGAGCCCCAGCCTGACTCCACGATGGCAATGCCCAGGATCTCCCCCTTCTGCTTCCGGATGCACACCTGGGGGAGAACAGCTTCCAGTCACGAGTCAAGGGCACCGGCAGAGCTGCCCGGTGCTCCAGGCCGCTGCGATGGGGTCGTAGCAGCACCTGAGCTGCTCAGGCAGCCACGGGAAGGAGACACAGAGGTGCTAACGGTTCCCCACTCTGTCTCCACCCTGCAGAGCAGCTCTTACGTCCTTGCAGTTCTCCTGCCGGGAGAAGTGGGTCAGCTCCGCGTTGTACTGCTCCTGGTCCTCCAGGGCACGGCTGTACTGGTGAGGGCTCAGCTCGCTGGGGTCGATGCCGTTGGCCTCCAGGAAGCGCTGGTAGGCCACACCGAACGCCTGCCCGATGGCCTGGGCAATCACCTGGGCCTGGGGGCAACGGGGGCTGTTCCTGCCTGTGGCTCAGGGCTGGAGCCAACAGCTGCCAGTGCCCAGCACAGGCACCATCCCTGGGACCCCCAGGGTGTCCTTCCCTCCCTGTACGGTGCCAATCCTTCCCCCTGTGCCACGGTGATGCTCAGGCTGTGCTCCTGCCTGCTCGGCATGGGGAGAGAGGGTCTGCAGCCCCCAGCATGGATCACCCCGTCGTTACAGCGGGACAGGACCCCAAGGCCTCCCCACCCTCCCGAGGGACCCACACGTCGCCTTACATCAGCTGAGTGGAAGACGTGGCAGATCAGCTTGTAGAGCCTCTTCTCCTCGGCCACGTCGGAGCGCCGAGGCAGCTTCCTGCGCGCCATGAGCACCACCAGGGAGCCGATGTCGGCGATGTAGGAGATGGTCTGCAGAGAGTGGTCCATCATGGCCTCCTGGCAAGGGGGACACGGGCAGAGATGTTCAGGCCATGCAGCAGCTCCCCTGAGGCATGAGAAGCCTCGTGCAGCCACACAGAGAGCCAAGGGACAGGACACAGGACAGCTGTGGAGTGATGTCCCCTCCAGATGTGTGTCCTCACCCCCAGGCCATCCCTGGACACAGCTCCACCAGGCTGGGAGCAAAGCTGAGATCCTGAGGCCAAAGAGCAATGTCGCAGAGGCCCCAGAGCACACAGGTGCTGCTGCTCCTGCTCACCTGTGTGTCAGCAGTGAGCACCTTGATCCTCTGCGTGGAGACAAACAGATCCACCTCCGTCATGGGCTGGGACTCCCCCTCGGGCGCCTGCAGAGCAAAGCAGAGGTCACAGGACCCTGCTGGGTCCAACCCCAGAGCCATGTGCCCCAGGCAGCTCCTGGGCACTGCCCCATGCCCACGGGGGGCCAGGCCAGGGGCAGCTGTGCCCCCCATCCCTCCTGCACCTTGATCCTGTCCACTGCCTCCTGGGCCTGTGCCATGCGGACGCTGGTCGGGGGGTTCCTCTCCGAGACCAGCTGTGTGGAGCCCAGGTACTTTGCCCCAAAAATCACACCATCCAGCAGATCTTCTGGGTCACAAGGGCCTGGAACTGAGGAGTTGGGAGGGACTGAGCAGGGGCTGGTCCCCTCTTTCTCTGAAACTGGGGGTGCCAACTCCTCCTGCCTGTCAGTTACATTCCTACACATAGCAAAGCAGCTCAGCGTGTGGTACATGGGCTCCTGGCATCACCAGGGGACCAGAGCACACCTGGCATCCCCTTCTCCCTCCCTGATCCCTGAAACACCCCCATGAGCTGGGATCAAAGGAACCACCAGGAGCCTGCAGCCACATTCCCATCCTGGGTGGGCACAGAGCCTGGTGCTGGGACCCCCAACCACCCCCATTCAGGTGGGTCAGGGCTCCCAGGGGCTCTTGCTGCAGAAGAAGATAAAGCAGCAACTCACCCTCTTTGAAGGCTGGGCAGGATGATGGGGATTCCCTGTTCTGCAAAGCAACAAAAGAACAAGTGAGGCTCTGGTTGGCATCCCAGAGATTCAGCCTGCCCAGCCCTGGAGCAGTGGGACAGCAAAGGCATAGTGTTCTGGGGCTGGGGTGGTGCACGGTGCCAGGGTTGGGCAGGGGGGACACAGCACAGGATCCTGGAGCCAGAGGAGGACACTGCAGGATCCTGAGTGGGGATGGCACAGGGTCCTGGGGCCAGAGGAGGACACTGCAGGATCCTGAGTGGGGATGGCACAGGGTCCTGGGGCCAGAGGAGGACACTGCAGGATCCTGAGTGGGGATGGCACAGGGTCCTGGGGCCAGAGGAGGACACTGCAGGATCCTGAGTGGGGATGGCACAGGGTCCTGGGGCCAGAGGAGGACACTGCAGGATCCTGAGTGGGGATGGCACAGGGTCCTGGGGCCAGAGGAGGACACTGCAGGATCCTGAGTGGGGATGGCACAGGGTCCTGGGGCCAGAGGAGGACACTGCAGGATCCTGAGTGGGGATGGCACAGGGTCCTGGGGCCAGAGGAGGACACTGCAGGATCCTGAGTGGGGATGGCACAGGGTCCTGGGGCCAGAGGAGGACACTGCAGGATCCTGAGTGGGGATGGCACAGGGTCCTGGGGCCAGAGGAGGACACTGCAGGGAATCACGTGAGTATCCCCTGCACTCAGGGCAGCAGGAACCACAGCTGGTACAGAGGGTTTTGTCTGGGCACCCTGGCCCTGTAAGACCCCAGGAAAGGCATCCCTGGCTCCCCTGTGCCCCCAGCCCAGACCCCAGGAGGGAGCAGAGCTCCTGCCACCCACCGC